ATCAACCCTTCATCCTTCTCCCAACGATACCTCATATTTTGTCTTTTCAGTTCCTCTGTAAGAAAATTATATTTTCTTCTGTTATTTATGACTGGTCCTGGAAATTCCTTCAGTATCACCACTCTTCTGTCCTTGTAGCAGATGACTCTTTTGTTACTAGCCTTCAAAATCTCATCTCTAGTGACTTTCCTTGTAAATTGTACTATTGTATCCCGATCGGTCTTGTTTCTTCTTGCAAAGTTTGTACTTACTCGGAATACTCTGTCCATCTGGTCCTCAATGTATTCTTCTGTACACTGTAACAATTCTGCTAAGATCTCTGTTACTTTTTCTCTTATATCCTCTTCTTTTTCTTCTCTTATGCTCCTTAGCCTCAGCTGGTACTCTGTCTCCTTCCTCTCCAAGGCCTCCTGCCTAGACGCCAATTTCTGGTTCATCAGTTCCAATGTCTTCACTTTATATTGTGTTATATTCTGTTTCTCTTCTTTTTCCTCATTCTTTGTTTGCAAAGTCTTTATTTCTTCTTTCATTGTATCCATATCTCTCTTCATCGTTCCTAGTTCCTCTTTAATTTCTCTTTTCATTTCTGCCATCTGTTCCTGGGTTACTTTTTGATAGGCGTCTTGTTTTTCACTCATCTCCGTTAGTTCTTTTCCAATCGTTTTTATTTCCTTCATCAACTCTTTGAATCTTAAATCTTCTCCAAATGAATGTCTTCTTCCTAAGTTGGGTATGCTAGAAATATTACTCATGCTTACTGAGGCGCATATAGTCTCTTTGGGTTCTTTGACATCTTTTTCTTTATCTTTGTTTGTCTCTTTGCCATCTTTCATCTCTTTCCCCATCTTTAAAACCTGTGATATTTCTTCTTTTCCACTTTTACTCTTTGTAGCTATTGTTGCCATTCTTGTGTGCTTCTCTTTCTTTCTCACCTCTTCTCTTTTCTTCTTTTATTTCTTGCCCTCTCTCTCTACCGTTCCTTTTTTCTCCTCTGTCCGCCCCTCGGCCTGTCCTCTTCTTCATTCCTTCACGCGGCTTCAGTCCTCCGCTTCGTTCTTCTTTCCTGTCTCCTCCTTCTTTTACTTTTCCTTTCCAGTCACGTCTCTTACGGTATCCTTCCGGTACCTTTGTGTCTTTCCGCCCGTGTGTGTGTTACTTTATTGATCTCCCCTCCTCTCCTCCTTCCACTTCCTGTCCCTCTTCGTCTCGCACACGCCTCTCCTCTCGCGATCCTTCTTACGCGTTCATGTTTCCTTCTCGCGCGATCTGTTCTCCCTCTTTCGGCTCTCGTCACTCCACTTCCTCCTCTCAACTCTCGCAGGGTTTCCCTCAGTATTCTTCTTATCTCCTTATGGGCTTCGTAGACACAACACCAGTCCCTTCAAGGTCAGCCTCTCAAGCGTTGAGCTTTTAATTTATTTATTTAATTTCTGTCTCACTAGAATAATGCTTAATTTCTGTCTATGTACTCTTTGAAGTAACTCTTCTCCTTTTTCCTCCTCCCACTTAGTTCTCTTTCTCTCCCTCTTTCTCTATCTCCAATTGGAAAGTTTCCAACGGAGGTCTTCACTTTGTCCGTTCTTTCTCCTTTTCTATTCTTTGTTTGTCGTATTTTTTCTTTCTGTCTTCCCTTCCTTCCTTATACCTTGGGGAAGGGGCTCCCCACCTCCCTCTCTGAATCCTTATGGTTCCGTACTCACTTTTCAATTCCACTCTTGCTTCTTTTCGTTAAAATGCACGTGGTAGAGGATGAATCGGGTTCAATGCCCTCTCGCCCAGCCGCGACCCGCCGTACCTCGGGCGCCTTGCCGGATCTTTTGGGTGGTCCCCTCTTGAGGAAGGGGCCCCCCCTTAGACCATCGGCGGCCTCCCCGGTTCCGCTGTTCCCCCCGTATCAATCCACGCGGGGGAAGGGAGCTATTGCTCTACCTGGTCGCTTGGCTAGGGCTGACACAAGCCGGAGCTCTAAAGTGCCTGTCTCCTCTCCATCTTCGTGCACCGGAAGTCCCCCTAAACTCACTTTCTGAGACCACTGTGACCCTCATCCAATGATTGATCAAGAACAAAACTTGGCACACAGAGCCCCCACGATCCACTCTCCATTCTGGTACAATTTGGAGGAGGGTGGACCACAAATGATGGGATTCACAGTACCTTCACTAACTTCCTGAGACCACTGCAAGCCATATAAATAACTGATAAAGACCAACCTTGATACACAATTCCTTTCTCAAATAACCCTGGCAGCGCTGGGTCCCCAAGCTAGTATATAATAAAAGTGAATGTTTGTTTGTATGTATGTATGCGGAGGGCAGAAGGGCGGAAGTGTATGTGGCAGCTTTCTGATTGGCTGCCATTTTCACAGGCCACTGTGACCAACACAGGTGACGCACCTGCACCAAACTTGGCACACATAACCCCCATGAACCCCTTTACGTCCTGGTGCGGTTTGGGGGAGGTGGACCATGGATTATGGGATTTGTAGTACTTTCAAACAGTTTGGTTCCCAGGGACCACTGTGACCCCCAACAAAGACTGATAAAGACCAAACTTGGCACACGGAGCCCCCATGACCCACTCTACATCCTACTGTGGTTTGGAGACGGGCAGACCATGGATGATGGGACTTGAAGTACCTCCACTCACTTTCCGAGACTGCTGCGACCCTCATCCAATGACTGAACAAGACCAAACTTGGCACACATAACCCCCATGACCCCTTTTACATCCTGGTTAGGTTTGGGGGAGGGCGGACAATGGATGATGGGATTGGTAGTACTTTCCAACACTTCGGTTCTCAGAGACCACTGCAGCCCCCAACAATGACCAATAAAGACCAAACTTGGCACACAGAGCACCCATGACCCATTCTACATCCTACTGTAGTTTGGAGGAGGATGGACCACAAATGATGAGAATTGGAGTACCTCCACTCATTTTCCGAGACCACAACGACTCTCATCCAATGACTGATCAAGACCAAAGTTGGCACACATAGCCCCCATGACCCACTCTACAACCTGGTGCACTTTCGAGGAGGACAGACCATGGATTATGGGACTTCAAGTACCTCCACTCACTTCCCAAAACTGCTGCAACCCTCATTAATGACCGATGAAGACCAAACTTGACACGCAGAGCCCCCATGAGCCACACTATATCCCGGTGCTGTTTGGAGGAGGACGGACGATAGATGATGGGACTTGCAGTACCTTCACTCACTTCCTGAAATCGCAGTGACACTTAACCAAATACCAATAAAGACCAAACTTGGCACAGAGAGCCCCCATGGCCAACTCAACATTCTGGTGAGGTTTGGGGAAGAACAGACTATGGTTGATGGGACTTGCAGTACCTTAACTCACTTTCTGAGACCACTGTGATTCTCATCCAATGACCAAACTTGGCACACAGAGCTCCCATGACCCACTCTCCATCCTGGTGCAGTGTGGAGGAGGATGGACCACAGATGATGGGACTCACAGTACCTTCACTAACTTCCTGAGACCACTGCGAGCCACTGAAATAACTGATAAAGACAACCTTGGCACACAATGCCTTTCTCAAATAACCCGGGTAGCGCCGGGTCCCCAAGCTAGTTGAGAATAAAAAAGAACTAAAATTAGCTTACAGCAGTTCAACATAAGTAAATGTTCACAGTAAACAAAAGTTTAAAATGATTAAACTATCAAAAATTGAAACTGGATAAACATGATGAAGACAGCAGGCAGCCTAGCAAAAATGGAAGGGCCATTTATTCTAAAAAATCAGTTATCAAAGGCCTGCTGAAACAAATAGGTCTTCACCTGTCTGTGGAAAGATAATAGGGAGGGTACCACTCTAATGTCTCTAGTAAGCATGTTATAGATGCCGAGAAGGCCCTCTCCTGTTGGTTTAGTTTTAAGCAGTACCAGATGTACCTGTGAAGGTGGTGTTTCAGCGAAGTTGTATACATGTTGTAGCCCGTCCCAGAGGACAATTTGACCATTTGGAGGAACACTTTTGAAAGGCAGTCCCATATAGACCCTGTTACATTATGCAAATGAGATTCAGAGACCACAAAGTAGGAAAGGAGGTTGTTTACTTGTAACTGTGACTCTAGTCATCTGTGAACTCAGGCAACCCATCTGCTGTAACCTCTCTTCTAACGCTTGATTCCCTTGGTTGCTGGCTGCTCATGTACCTGAGGGAGTTGGACTGGGAACCAAATTGGGGATGTGCCAGGGGACGGGAGGTATATATATAAACAGCTCTATATAAGTGCAGAGCTGTTTATCAGTTGAGGTACAGTGTTTTTAAAGCACTATAATCAAGGCTTTAAAAGTCAATGTGATTCTAGGCTGCATCAATAGGAGTATAGTGTCTAGATTGAGGGAAGTAATAGTACTACTCTATTCTGCCTTGTTCAGACCTCACCTAGAATAACCCTGTGTCCAGTCTTTGGCATCACAAATCAAGGATGATATTGAAAACCTGGGGTGTATCAAGAGAAGGTTGACCAAAATGATCAAAGATCTGCAGGCTGAGCACTATGAGGAACAGCTTAGAGAGCTGGGTATGTTTAGCTTACAGAAGAGAAGCTTGAGAGGGAACTTGATAGCCAAGTTTAAATATTTGAATGGATGTCACATTGAGGAAGGGACAAGCTTGTTTTCTGCTGCTCTGGATATTAGGATGTGGAACAATGGATTCAAATTGCGGGAAAAGAGATTCCACCTGAAGACCTGCCCAATGATCAGAGCTGTTTGACAGCGGAAAATACTGCCTCAGAGTGTAGTGTAGTCTCCTTCCCTGGAAATTCTTAAACACACTGGATGGCCATCTATTGGGAGATGGCCATCCATCCTCTTTGATTGTGTAATCCTGCGTGGATGGACTGGATGGCCCTTGTGATCTCTTCCAACTCTGTGATTCCATGATTCTTATGGTTTGATTTGTCTGAGTTGATGGGGCTACTGTTAGCTTTTGATGTTACGATCAAATAATATTTTTCACTGCAGGTTTTCAAGGAATCAGTGACAGTGGTTCTCGTAGGGGTGGAAGAGGATCATTTCAAGGTGGCAAAGGAGGATATGGGCAGTTTGCAAGTATGTGCTGCAGTTCACAATTGAGTTAGATTATCACTGAATTATTTCATTCTTGTCTAAAAACATAAGGTTTTGCTTGTCTTGCATTTTAGTGTCATACAGAAATGCATTTTTGGGGGGAAAAACCTTTTGTGTACTTTTCAGACTTAAGTTCATGTAGGTTGAATTATGTTGCCTTAAAAATAAATATTTCATTGTTTGAATTTGAAATCTATTTTTTTCATGAAACAATTCTGAATAAGTGTTTGTGTGGATTCTGTTATAACAGATGATGAAAATGAGAGTCAGGATATAAGACCGGGATCTGGCAGCTTTGGCTTTAAAAGAGGAGGAGCTTTTGGTGCTCCAGCAGGTAGGAATTAAAAATTAAATGCAATTACTTGTGGTTATTTAGTCTTTCCATTTATCTAAGTTGGAAACTGTCCGAAGGGATATTGACAATTGATGGGTCAAAAATGGTGGCACAAGATTACCATTCTTTTACAGCCTCCTGGTGCCTATACACTTCTCCTTAAAAAAACCCCATATGAGTCAAATTTAATCTTTTCTGATAAATAAAATGTGGTAGTTTATTTATGCTGATCATTCACAGTTACATTATTACTAGAATTATTTATTTTTCAGGTGACTTTGAAAATAGAGGAAGAGGATTTGGAGGCAGAGGTAAAATCTTTGTAGTATTATTATACAGGGAAAATGGACAGCATACAAAGACGTGTTAGACGTTCCTGTTTCATGATTTTTAAGACCATAAGAATTAAATTAAACTTTTCTGGGATTTTGCTACAAGCATTTTAGTATTTCAAAATGGTCCTCCCTAATTTTGTTTTTTGCTTTTCTTGCTGCCCTTTCATTTGGTTCATCTCCACTAGGACCATCTTCACTTTAAGCTTTCAGACTAAGATTCTCCCATATAGCCATAACATACTTGGCAGTTCCATTTCGTTGTATTGCCACAGCTGCATTATTTAATGACACACAACTTCATTATAATTTTTAACAGGGGGATACAAAGGAAACGATGAAGAAATGATTGGTGGCTCTGTTAGAAGTAAGAGTATTGAAATAATTTAAATTCTTTCTTTCTTTCATCAAGTAATGTGCTTTTTGTCTTGTTAATAAAATATTTATTTAACTTAAGGTATGTGGAAATCAGATGGAGACCCAGAAAAAGGTGATGGTGGAGGTACGTTCAACTAAAACAGATGAGATAGGAGAGTGACCATGCTCAAATGATCGTATGACATGTGAAAGCTTTCATGATGCAAATTATATTCCAAGGGCAACTTAGCATTTTTGATATTTTTCATAGTTGGGGATTAATTAAATTGAAGATCTGGTTAATTTGTACAGTGCAACCAAAGTTCAATAGAAAACAGGCAAAAAAAAAAAACAACCCCTGGTTGTTAGTCACCTTGAGTCCCTTTGGGGAGAAAGGCGGGGTATAAAGAAAGGAACAGTAGTAAGTAGTAGTAGTAGTAAGAGTAGTAGTAGTAATAATAGTAGTAATAAATTAGCAAATTTGATTCTCAGTAGCAGAATTTATGTTTCTACCTTTGTGTTGCAGGTCCAAAGGTGACATACGTACCACCTCCACCACCAGATGCTGAATCTGCCATCTTTGCACGTTACCAGACAGGGATAAATTTTGACAAATACGATAACATTCTTGTGGAGGTTTCAGGACTTGATCCTCCATCAGCAATACTGGTTAGTGAATGCTGCCTTCAAATACTTCGAATTTAAACATCTAATATTGAACAATAGAGAAAATAAAAGTGTGGGAGTTTTCTCTAATTCATCTATATATATAAATTTGTTAGGGGCATCCAACGGAGAAACAAAACTCAAAAACCCCCCAACGAAACTTAACCAAAATTCCCATGCCCATAACACAACCCACAAGGTACAAACATATCTACTCAAAATGAAAAACAACACAACAACACACTCACAAAACAACAAAACAACAAAACTCAAAACACCCCCAGCGAAACATAACCAAAATTCCCATGCCCATAACACAACCCACAAGGTACAAACATATCTACTCAAAATGAAAAACAACACAACAACACACTCACAAAACGGCAAAACAACAAAACTCAAAAATCCCCCAACGAAACTTAACCAAAATTCCCGTGCCCATAACACAACCCACAAGGTACAAACATATCTACTCAAAATGAAAAACAACACAACAACACACTCACAAAACGGCAAAGGAACAAAACTCAAAAATACCCCAACGAAACTTAACCAAAATTCCCATGCTCATAACACAACCCACAAGGTACAAACATATCTACTCAAAATGAAAAACAACACACTCAAAACGGCAAAAAAACAACAACAAAACTCAAAAAACCCAACGAAACTTAACCAAAATTCCCATGCCCATAACACAACCCACAAGGTACAAACATATCTACTCAAAATGAAAAACAACACAACACACTCACAAAATGGCAAAACAACTGAGCATGCGCATTGGCGCCCAGCCGCAAGTTCCCTGGCGCGCGCACATGGCCTTCCGGCCAACGTTCCCTCTGCGGAAACCATGCCCACTCCAAGCCCCGCCGCACCGCTTCCCGCACACACACACCCCCTGCCGCACACACACACACAACCCCACACTCCATCACTCCCCCCGCCGCCGCACACACACACGCAACCCCACTCCCCCGCCGCACACACACACGCAACCCCACGCTCCATCACTCCCCCGCCGCCGCACACACACACGCAACCCCACGCTCCATCACTCCCCCGCCACCGCACACACACACGTCCATCACTCCCCCCGCCCGCCGCACACACACGCAACCCCACCCCCCCGCCGCCGCACACACACACACAACCCCACGCTCCATCACTCCCCCGCCGCACGCACACACGCAACCCCCCTCCCCCCCGCCGCACACACACACGCAACCCCACGCTCCATCACTCCCCCCGCTGCACACACACACGCAACCCCACGCTCCATCACTCCCCCGCCCCAATCTTACCTCCTTTTACTTCACGCCACCTCCAAACCCCACCCCCCCCCTTCCCGCCCTGTCAAAAACAGGAAGGAAGGAAAGAAGGAAGAAAGAGAAAGGGAGGTAAAGAAAAAGGGGGAAGGAAAGTTAGAGAAAGAAGGAAGAAGAAAAGGAAAGAAAAGGAAAGATGGAAGGAAAGAAAAGAGAGACAGCAGAAAAGAAAGAAAAAGGGGGAAGGAAGGAAAGAGATAGAGAAAGAAGAGGAGAAGGAAAGAGGGGAGGGAAGGAAGGAAGGAGGGAAAGAAGGAGAGAAAGAGGGAAGATTGGCCACAGCAACACGTGGCGGGTAAAGGTTGTTATTTCTATTATTATTATGCTATTATTCCTATTAGACCCTTGGGGGAATGGGAGAGGTGTCAGGTCCCAGAGGCAATGCATTGCATTATTGTTATTGTTATGATGGTGGTGAAATAAAAGGAAATAAAAAGTGAAAGAAGGAAGCAAACAGGGAGGGAAGAAAGGCAAAGGAAGAAAGGGGGAGGGAATGAAGGAAAGAGAGAAGGATGAAACCAAGTAGTGAAAGAAAGAAAGAGGTAGAGAAGGAAGAAAGGAGAGAAAGGGGGAGGAAAAGGGGGAAGGAATAGGTAGGGACCTCTCTTTCATAATAGTCCAGATATCTACCTCAACTTTGATAAGTTTTACTATAGGCCACAGCAACGCGTGGCAGGGCACAGCTAGTTTTTGAATATAAAATGACAGATTGCTTTTGAAATCCCCCTTTAAATATAAGTGCAGCTTTTAAAAGGCAATCTCATAAAAAGTTGAAACAACTACTTAAAGTTACTTGAATATGAATTTGCATACTCTTAATGATTTTATATGGATTTATGCAGAACTTCATTTTCTTATGTAACTAGGTCTTCTCATTGATCATAATTTAGGTTTTAGAGAATTTCCCCCAAGATTTTCTTTTAACTATTTCTGGAAATAGAAGTAATTCTCTTTAATGGTGAAGGGGGTGTCCTTTGCTAGTTTATATCCTGTCACTGTCCAGACGAGGCTAGGGACAGATAATTTATTAGATGTCTTTCTCCTAGCTCTGTCCCCAATTCCTGATTATAACTGAGTGGGAATGGAAATAGGAAGAGACTATAGGACAGGGGTCCTCAAACTAAGGCCTGGGGGCCGAATACGGCCCTCCAAGGTCATTTACCCGGCCCTTGCTCAGAGTCAATCTAAGTCTGAAATGACTTGAAAGCACACAACAACAACAACAATCCTTTCTCATCAGCCAAAAGCAGGCCCACACTTCCCATTGAAATACTAAGTTTATATTTGTTAAAATTGATGTTAATTTTAATTATTGTATTGTTTTTAACTGTTTTTGCACTACAAATAAGATATTTGTAGTGTGCATAGGAATTCATTCATGTTTTTTTCAAATTATAATCTGGCCCTCCAACAATTTGAGGGACTGTGACCTGGCCCTCTGTTTAAAAAGTTTGAGGACCCCTGCTATAGGATAAGGCAGAACTAAGAAGAGAACACATTGAAGAGATAGATGGGAGCATCAGCTTCAATTCTGTCAGTTTATCAGTCCATAGATTTCCTGCGTTGGATTTAAATTTTATGCTCAATGCTCTGACAAGGCCACCTTTTCAGCCACTTAAGGAGACATTGTTGAGATTGATGAATTTTAAAGTTGTATTTTTAGTAGCCATTACCAGATGATGGCAGACCTGCTAAGTTGCATTCTTGGTTAACTCATTGAATTCTCATATGTAATGTGCCATTTTCAGACATTTGATGAAGCTAATCTGTGCCAAATATTAATGGAGAACATTGCTAGAGCTGGATATTTTAAACTTACTCCAGTGCAGAAATACAGTATTCCTATTGTGCTGGCAGGACGTGATTTAATGGCATGTGCTCAAACAGGATCTGGGAAAACAGTAAGTATAAATGCTAATTGCCTCTGGAGTAACTTAAGTTGATATTTAGGGTTTTGGGCAGTGAGTCTTCAAGGGCACTGGCAACTCTGCTGAAATTGTTGAAGCTTTCACTGTTTTTAAGAAGCAATTCATTTCACATATTTCATTGGACTGATGCTGTTTTTTTCTGGCTTTTAGTTTATCATTAGCTAGAACATTTTATTAAAAATGGTTTCTGCACTATAGAGAAATGCTTCAGAACAATTAGTTGAAATATTTGTGTATAATATAATTAAATGGTTAAAGATAGATCTATTGATGTTATTTTTAGATTTGTATCTTTATTGTCTTGATTTGCTATTACACAAACATGTTTTTCCCCCACAAACTAGATTCTAGACCAAAAACACATGCTGCTTTTGTGTTTCATAACTTTCTAAAGGCTTGTGTAAGATAAGATTGCAGAATATTTGCTGTCTTTTAAAAATCAGACATGTTCGTATTTTAGAGCTGAGAAATTCCTAAATCCAATTCTAATTTTCATTGGTTCTTTAGGCAGCTTTTCTTATTCCAATTATGGCTCATATGCTACGCGATGGAATCACTGCTACTCACTTCAAAGAACAACAGGAACCAGAATGTATAATCGTAGCTCCGACTAGAGAACTGATAAACCAGATCTTTTTGGAATCAAGAAAATTTTCATATGGGTGAGGATTGGGCAAATCCCCTCTACCATTTTACTTCTAATCCCCATCCCATGCTATTAGTACTATGTCAACTAAATAGCAGCTTTTAGTTAGTTGGATAATGCTTTTTTAATAAAAAAAATCAAAAGTCTTTTTATATTGGCCAAGCTGATAGCAAGCTGTCTCACTAAGGTGAATGTGGTGAATCTCTTGGCACATAATTCTTTCAAACATGACAAAGATGTGAAAATTGACTGAAAAATCTCAGAAGTGAATGCTCGTATTATATTTCTAGGTCACAATTATAGAGGAAAATATGCTCACAATTGGGGCACAATGATGAAAACCGACCTCTATGGTTGTTACAATAGCCATATTTGTTAAGTTTAGAAAGAACCAATGGTTTTGGATTAATCTCTACTGTGAAGGAGCTAAATTCGCCCTTCCACTGTGCATTAAATAAGAGAAAATGTGTTATGTTGATATCTTGTCACTTCATGTTCAATGTATTACCATGGTGATTGAGGTCCTCGTATTGTTGTTTCATCACCATGGAATTAGGCTATATTAGATCCCAAAACATACTTGGCAGAATGAAAAACTGTGTCTGAAATATAACCACAATAGCAACATGATGCATAATGATAGCCATTCATAAACTTTTACAAATGAGTACTAACAAGAAGAAAAAGATCTGGAGAGTTGTTGGATCTGAGTTATAGCAGGAATTAATACTGGGGACTGGAGCATATTCCAGACGCCATTCTCGTGAAATTAGTTTTTGTATCTGTCATTTTTTAAATAACGCCAACATTAAAATATTCGCAGTTTGTTTTGATTGGCTAATTTGGAGTGTTTTATTGACCTGAGATCAACATTATATAGGCATATATGTGCCACTAAAAGATAACTTCCTTCTTGTGCAGCTTTCTGTGCTGCTTGAGAATTGAAGTAATTTGGGGTATGTGTACAGAGGGAGTGGAATTGCCTTTCCCAGTTTCTTTAAAGAAGACACCCTGTGGATTCCTGGCAAATCTCATTTCAATTAAAAGCTCTTTCTAATTCTAGGTGGAATAATATGTGAGCACATAATATTGAGTTCATGCTTGAATAAAATGTAAAATAGCCATATAGTTACAGCTCTTGAATTTTGTCTTTTGCAACTATATTGAATGTAAAAGGTTGCAAACAAGAACTGCCATTTCACTTAAACATCCTTTTCAAAGGAAGATAAACAGAACTTTAGATCTATTGCTGTTTTTGTAGTATTATTTATATACTGTTGTTGAATCTATGCAATTAGGTTTATATGTATGTTAGTACTGATTAATTTACCGTTAACATTAAATGAGAAATGTAATTTGGATTCTCTTGTTGACTAGAACATGTATAAGGCCAGTTGTCATTTATGGAGGTATACAAATGGGACATACAATTCATCAGATAATGCAAGGGTGTAATATACTGTGTGCTACCCCAGGAAGGCTTTTGGATATAATAAACAGAGGAAAGGTAGGCTCCATGTGTGAATAATTTCTTAAATGTTAAGGCTCTTCTAAATCTGAAATACTTAAAACTGCCTCATTGAAAGGGATTAGGCATATAGATGCAAAAGATGATCTATTGCGGGGGGGGGGGGGGKTGTGTCAAAAGCATTGCATAAATAGATAAGTATAAAAACTGATAAAATGATAAGTAGTTTTAGACCAAACCGGGCAACAGCGACTGCATTGTCTGTAGCTTTAAAAAGTTCTTCCTCTGTGCATGATGCAGGGCATTATGGGCAAGCATACAGATGCTGAGTTGTTTGTTCTGCTCCACAGTTGCACAAGGTGGACTGTGCAATGTAAAAGCATTGTTTTCCAACGTCTACAGCATGGTTACTTAGCTTCAAAAACGGGTGCTCCATATTTATCAGGCAAGGGTGAAGGTGTTAGGACTATTCTTTCCCTTGTCATTAAGCCCAGAAGAATGGAAGAGTGAACTCTTGGCCAATATAGCCTCCTGCTCCGTTTTCTTTATCTTAGGAAATATGAGCTACCCTATTGAGTTACAGCAGTGTCCAGTTAACCAAAAATGATGTACGTGATTTAAATTTAAAGAAAAAGTGTTTATGTCATTAGTGCAATTTAATGTAAGGTGGGTGTAAATATTATAATAAACATTGTATACTATTGCAATGGCTCTTCCAAGCTCTTGAGAGATGGGTTTTACATGTCCTTTAATGGAACTCTGGATGTTGATTTCAAATCTTGGGCATTTCAATGTGCTTGTTTTGCCACTGAGCCATGAGGAGAACTAGATTGCAGTACACTGTTTCTTAAACTGTGGGTCCCAACCGCAGATTGGGTCCCCTTAGCTCGATTTCACAACAAATTTGGCAACAGTGAAGGTTTCTGAATGCCACCCATTTACCCAGAGGACTCTGCAGAAAATGCTTCAGCTCTACTCCAAAAAACGGAAAACTAGTCTGTTTAGCAAGCATTACAAATTCTTGATTTTTATACCTATTTTATGTACATATCTACCAGGTGTCACAGAAAAGTTTCTCGGGTGGGAACGGGTTGTGAGTGCAAAAAGTTTAAGAAGCCCACTATAGAGACAGGCAGAATAAAAGCATCTGAATTGCTGATTGGAAAAAGTTTTGTGTGACCATACCATTAATACATTTTGAGGCCAAACGTAAATGCAGACAAGTATGAGCACAGTTACCTTTTCTTTGGGTGCAAAAAGAATCAGTTGCATTTCACGGGTAATAATGGATCATTTTGAAGACATACCGTTGCAGTTAAGTGGTGATTAGGTCACAGAAGTCTATTTTTAACTGTTAATGATTTATATTTTGGAGTGGAGTTTATGCTCAAGTTCATAGCCAGTGGGTGGGAATATAAAATGTTGTAGATGGTCTTCATTTTATGCTGTACTGCTTTGAGTTTGTACAATATTGTAAATAACAATGTGTGCATCTTTTATTGTTGAACTAAACTTTTTTCACTTCAGATTGGTCTGTCCAAATTAAAATACTTGGTGTTAGATGAAGCAGACCGTATGCTGGACATGGGATTTGGTCCTGATATGAAGAGATTGGTTTCAAGTCCAGGCATGCCGTCAAAAGATCAACGACAGACACTTATGTTTAGTGCTACTTTTCCTGAGGAAATCCAGAGGTTTGTCCTCAAAATTGTTGATACAGTTACAGGTATAAGCAACCTGTCCCTCAAAGGAAGGAACTGCAAAACTACCAATTCCTTGCCTAAGAAAACCCTGTGAAAGTCATAGGGTTGCCATAAATTCGCAGGTGACTTGAAGGAACATAAACACACACGTTTTCTTCTTTATTTAATGGTTCTTTGTAATTCCAAATTACTTATGAGTGAGTGGGTCATACTCATTTCATACTCTGTTTGCTCATTCTCCACATCACCATAGCCTGATATAAAAATGGAAATTGAAGGTTATTGATGTTGGATCCAGATGAAGATATTTTCCATAATGTTCTGAAGAATGTCCATGAAATAACAGTTTTAGACTGTCCCATTCTTAATGCGCAATTTTCATGGAGTGGAAGTAGATTATGCTCTACATCCACTCAGGTTGCTGCTAATCCTTTTTGGAGTTTGGGAAAGATGGATTAAGTGGACATCCAGATCTGCTACCAGCAGAATAAAATTACTTCTCACTACAGTTTCAGAATTCATTTTGAGATCTTCATTCCTGGCTTATTTAGAATTTCAGCACCAATGCATTCAGAATTCAAAATTATTCAAGTTTATATGTGCTGGAGAATTTAGGCTTGCCAAATTCTGAGGTAAAATAATAATTTGATATAAAATTTATATTAAGAAATGTGTACGTAGAACTAGCCTACTAGTACATTTTTTTTACTAACATGATCTCTTAATCTGTATTTTTGTCTTGCAAAGTTACCTTTTACTTATTTTAGTCTGCCACTTAGCCATTAATTGTTATCATAAAGTAACTTTTTCCGTTCATTTTAAAGGCTGGCTGGGGAATTTTTGAAGGAAGACTACTTATTTGTTGTTGTTGGACAAGTGGGTGGAGCCTGCAGTGATGTTGAACAGACTATACTTCAAGTAAATCAATATGACAAGAGAGATAAGCTTCTGGAAATTCTCAATACCATAGGTAAAACAACTTATATGTCAGTAGCCTCTCCTCCTAAATGACGTGTACAGTACTATCTCAGTTAACTGGCACCCATGATGCCAGATAAATGTTGTATCTGTGTCTTGCACAGGCTCATAAATGTAAAAGTTGAGACTGCTCATTGAGTCCTAATTATGAATATGATAGTCTTCAGTTTTCAGAGATGGAATGTCTCACACAATAAGTTATAGAATTCCTAGAGACACCTGATTTTGAGCAAACAAAACTGGACAATATGAATGTTTAGTTTGCTCTGGCAGTCTTTTTCTTTTTGGATAGTAAGTTATAGTCAGTCAGTAGGTGCTGGCTTTACTCCAGACACATAAAGAGGCACACTGTTATGCCCTGAAAATTATAGAAAATTATATTCTGAAGTAGGTGTAATAAAAATGCTGTAAAGAACCAATAAAAGAACCAACCAGTAAAAATACACCAGGAAATGCCTACACATTAGTGTAGTCCTTGGCGCACGACTTTTGAGATTTTAAAAAGTATCTAATTTTGGTTGAATCTGGGTGCAGAACCAGTGGATACAGAAGGCTGGCTATACTCCATCCTTTCGGTCTAGTAGACTGACACCATTTTAAAATGAGCTAGTTCATAAAAACTTGCCAAAATTCTCAAAAATAATCACTCACAATAAAAGAAAATGTTTTAACAAAGTGTATATTTAGATTCAGGGACTAGTGTATTAGGCATGATTAGTTAACACATTTCTGTTAATATTTGGTTTATTTTAGGTAAGGAACGAACAATGGTGTTTGTGGAAACAAAGAAAAAAGCAGACTTTATTGCAACTTTTCTTTGTCAGGAATACATACCAACGACAAGCATTCATGGGTAAGCATCTGTAAAAAGGGTGGTGAATCTTTTTTCACATGTGGCTCAAATCTATTGAAAAGAATTTTGAAGGCTGAATTTCAGTAATGGCAAAGGCCTAAGACACACAATGTGGGACCAGGAATAATTCTTAATAATGCACAATTCCACATCACACAAAGTCCAGCTTAATTTTGTGCATACATGCTGAGGAATAAGACCCATTGGAGAAGCCCCCCAATCTATGCTGACCCTAAGGTAATTGTAGTCCAGACCACAGATTGCCTATATCTGATTGAAACCATATTTTGACGCAAAATATGATTAAATGAGTTGTTTTTGATACTTCAGATTTCTACTGGTCTGTTCAAATTTGACACACCAAAAATCATCCAAAGGGGCGCTGCACAAGATACAGCAAGAAAATACAAATGTTTCCTTGATAGCGCCTAATTGGCCAAGAAGCTTCTCAAAGCTGATACAGATGTCAGTGCAGCCACTCAAGGCTCCTCTGAAGGTCCTGGATTTGTTAGCAGAAGGTCCATTACATCATTAGGACATAAATTGGTTTGAATTTGGCTGTGGGCATTCGAAGAATAAGTTTGAGAAAATATAAATCTCCAGAAGCAGTTGGAGTGGGTTAAATTGCTGAGCTGCTGAACTTGTTGACTGAAAGGTTGGCGGTTTGAATCCAGGGAGCTGGGTGAGCTCCCACTGTTAGCCCCAGCTTCTGCCAACCCAGCAGTTCGGAAACATGCAGATGTGAATAGCTCAACAGGTACTGCTCCGATGGGAAGGAACAACGCTCCATGCAGTCATGTGGGTCACATAACCTTGGAGGTGTCTACAGACTATGCTGGCTCTTCAACTTAGAAATGGAGATGAGCACCACCCCCCAGAATCTGACACAACTAGACTTAATGTCAAGGAGAAACCTTTACTTTTATGGCACCAAGGAAACATTTGACTCAAAACATATATAATATGACATGGAAGTTGTTTGAGGTGATGTAGTGCCAAAATGAGGCCAAATGTGCGGAGAAGTTGTATCTATTCTGAAGTCTGAAAGGGAACCAGTAGCAACACATCCTCACATTTAGAGATTTTAAGAGGCTCTACTATTTAATAATGATAATATTTTATTTGTATCCTCCCTATCTTCCCCAGGGAACTTGGGGGAGATTCCAGCGCATACAAACAAAGTCAAACTGGTTTCTCTTTAGATCGTATAAATCTTTTCTCCTTTTACAAAAGCAAACATTCAATGCCTGGAAACAATGAAACACACAAAAAGGAAATTTTTAAATGCCAATATCACATACATTCCCAATTTGGGATCTAAATGTGGTATTGAATAAATGGACAAGTATGCCATTAGTACCTTTAAAGCAGTGGCTCCTAGCCTTTTTTTGACCAGGGAC